TGATGGATACTTGGGTTGCTTCCACTTTTTGGTTACTGTGAATAAATGCTGGTATGAGCTTAGGTATCTAAATATCTCTTTGAGCCCCTGCTTTCAATTCTTTTGGGTATGGAATGGAATTGCTGAATGGAACTTTTTGAGGAATTGCCAAACCATTTTCCACAGCAGCTGCACCGTTTTACATTCCACCAACAGTTCCAGTTTCTCCACATCCTTGCCAACACTTTCTGATTTTTTTTTTTAATTAAAGAATTCAATTATAGCCATCCTAGTAGGTATGCAGTAGTACCTCATTGTGGGTTTGATTTACATTTCCCTAATGAGAAATGATGTCGACTATCTCTTCTTGTGCTTATTGGCCATTCGTATATCTTCTTTGGAGAAATCTCTATTCAAGTCCTTTGCCTATTTTAAAAATTAGGTTGGATTTTGTTGTGGCTATCTGCTGGGATTTTGATGGTATTGTATCAAATCTGTACATCAACAGGTACAACTGAAATGTTAACAATACTGAGTCGTCCATGAACATGGTGAGTCTCTCCATTTATTCAGATCTTCTGTAATCTCTATCAAGGTTTTGAGACTTTTAGTGTAGAAATCTGACATATCTCTTCCTAAGTGTTTTTTCATAGTCATGAATGAAATTGCTGTTCTTAAAAAATGATTTTCCAATTTACTTGTTAGTATATAAAATACAATTGATTTTTGTGCATTAAGCTTATATTCTGCAATGTTGTAAACTTTACTTATCAATTCCAGTAGTAGTTTGTAGATTTCTTAGGATTTTCTATGTAAAAAATCTTGCCATAGGAAAGTAGTGTTTTCTTTTTTCTTTCCTATCTTTGTGTGTTAGTCTGTCTGCCTTCCTTTTCCTTTTCTTCGTTTTTCCCCATTGATATGCCTAGGCCTCCTAGGACAATATTGAGCAGAAGTAGCGTGGATAAGCACCCTTGCTTTGTTCCTAATCTTTGAGGAAAAGTTAGTATTTCACCTAGCTATGAGTTTTTCACAGATGAACTTTATCATATTGAGGAAGTTCCCTTCTATTCCTAGTTTGCCAAAGTCCCTTTAAGAATTTTATCAGTTGCTTTTTTTCTGCGTCTGTTGAAATGACCACATGGGTTTTCTCCTTCACTCTGTAATTAAACTACACTGATTGGTTTTCAAATATTTGATTATCTCTGCATTCCAGGGGTAAATCCTATTTGGTCGTGACATATCCTTTTTATGTATTGCTGGATTCAGGTTGCTGATATTCTAAGTACTTTGTATCTATGTTCATGAAGGATGTTGACCTCTAATTTTCTTTTGTAATGACTTTATAAGGTTTTTTAGTATTACAGTTACACTGGCCCCTTAAAAGGAGTTGGAAGTAGTCCCTCTTCCTCTGGTTTTGGTTTTTTTTGTTTCTTTTTTTTTTAATAGAAGCTGTGTAAGATTGGTGTTATTTCTTCCTTCAATGTTTAATAGAATTTTCCAGGGAAACATCTGGGCCTGGAGTTTTCCTTATGAGAACATAATACATTTAATTTCTTCAGTGAATATCAAGTTCTCTTTCTTACGGAATGAGCCTTGTCCATTTGTGTGTTCATAGGCAATTATCCATTTTATGTGTTGTTAAATTTGTTGGCATAAAGTTGTTTGTACTGTTCTCTTTTTATCCCTTTAATATCTGTAGGCTCTGTAATAACAACCCCTTCTCTCATTCCTGATCTATTATCCTCTTAATGTCTGTGGCATCTTCAGTGATAACTGTTTCACTCTTACTTTGGGTAATCTGTGTCCCCCTTTTTCCTTGGTCAGTGTAGTGAGATGTGTATCAATTCTGTTGATTTTTTCCAAAGAATTAGCTTTTGGCTTTGTTAGTTTTCTCTACTGTGTTCTGTTTTGTTGATTTCCGTTCCTTTTATTATCTCTTTCCTCTTTCTTTGGGTTCACTTGTCTCTTTTTACAGTTTCTTAAAGGTGAAAATTTAGGTCAATTTTAGGCCTTTTTTTCTACAAGCATTGAAAGCTTGTAAATTTACTTTTAAGCACTACTTTAGGAGTATCCTACAAATTTTGAGCTGTATTTTTCACTGTTCAAAATATTTTCTAATCCATTTTGTGATATATTCTTTGATCCATGAGTTATTTTATGTTTGATTTTTAAATATTTGCAGTTTTCCAAAGTATTTTGAGTTCTAATTTGATTTCATTGTAGTGAGAACATTTTGTGTATGATTCCAATCCTTTTAAATGTAGTGAGACTTGTTTTATCATGCAGCGTATGGTTTTCATAGTAAATATACCACATACACTTGAAAAAAGTGTGTATTCTGCAGTACTAAATGTGTATCAGGTTAAAGTTGTTGACAGTTTTGTTAAGCTCATTTATGAAGTTACTGATTTGTCTAGATTTAATAATTACTAAGGGTGATAAAATCTCCACCTATTTTAATGGAATTCCCTCCCTGCTCCACTCTGTTTTAGCTTCTGCTTCATTTATTTTGAAGCTGTTATTAGATACACAGAGTTATGACTGTGTCTTCTTGATGAATTGGCCCTTTTATCATCTAAAATGTTATTATCTCCGATACTACTCTGTCAGATTGCTTGGCTCATTTTAATACATCATCATCCAGTTTGGAGGTTTCTTCACTCATGTTTCTGTTGATACTTCATCATAGTTTGGAAAAGCCAACTTCTGCCTTTATAGAACAACCGTGAGGGCCGAAAGCTTCAGGCTCTCCAGGGATCAGAAGAGAAGGAGCAGGCGTTACTTTTATTTGAAAAGAAATGAGCTGAGAGGCAGGTCTCCTTTTCCTGGCCAGCTGCTGATTGCTAACACTCACATGATGTCATGGGGCAGCAGAAGCCACATAGTGGCTGGGTGTTCTGGGGCAAGTTCCTGAACCTCTGCACTTCAGTTCCTTCATCCAGGACCTTGACTGCAGCCGTGTGGAGGGAGGACCCTGAGCCGGGAGCATCCAGCTACACCGCACCAGATTCTTGACCCACAGAAGTGGTGAGATGTTCATGTTTATTGTCTTAAGCACTACGTTCTGGGGTAATCTGCTATGTAACAATAGAGACCTAATACACCACTTTGTAGAAAGACTTAAATAACAATTTTTAAGGTTTTTTTCAATTGCCATTTAATCATTAGGATTCCACGGGGCTTGAGGAGAAATTTTTTCTAGACGTGAGATTCTTCACCAAGTTAGTGTGAGTTTTAGTGGGCTGCATTTCTAATAGAGCCACCTGTCAGTGGGAGGATCACAGCACTCACAGGCAGCCTCTGCTGTTTCTTTTGGGTCTTCCACTAACCAACCTGGCTTAGTACTCAAATATCTGAACTCTACTAGAGTTATCCAGAACTGCTCGCTCCTCATGCTTGCAAAGGCCAGCTCTAGATTGTGCTCTGTAGGATGATTCTTTGCTGCTTCCTGCCTCTGGCTTCTGCCACTAAGTGGGTGATAACGACTCGATTAAAACCTCCATAATTTGTAAATTGTTCCCTGCCTGTCAGGCGGTTACCGACTCACTTGCACTCACAGACTGCATCCCCCCGGGGATCACTGCCTGAGGCTCGCTGATCAAGCCCTTTAACAGAAGTCAGACTCGGACAAATCCCAGTGTTCCTGGACATAGCATTGCTAGGACATTTAAATTAAATAACCATTTTGGTTTCTTTTAAGTTCTGTCTTACCCTGCTTTTGCATTTTTCAAGATGTTTTAAAAATTTAACTTGATTCTCTCAGAAGTTTTGTTAGGAAGTATGTCTACATGTGATGCCTACTTACAGTTCTCTTCCTAAAAGCAAAATGGCATGTTCGTAGCCACGGCACATCAGCTTCCTGCGGCGTCGGTCTCGGCCCGTGGTTGTAAGCCCCTGGTTTATTCTCTAACACATCCTGGGACCCTTGATCGGAATGACTCATGAGGTGGCTTTCCCCACTGATAGCATTCCGAGGGAACCGATAATCAGTGCTCCGTAAAACCTGAGCAGTTGGTTCTGTAGTTCTCGTTACATGTTTCTTGCTCACTCAATCCCTGCGTGGTGCTGAGCCGTCAGCTGGGTTGGAGAACTGACTTCGGAGTCAGAACAGCAGGCGGAGCTGGCCTCCGACCGCCGTCCCCCAGTTCTAAGACTTGTTCTCACCTCACTGACCACATTTTAATACTTGCCAAGTTGGCCCGTGTGTTACAACTCATCCTGTCTTAGATGAGATGTCATCTGGTAACTATTTCAAATGCAGCAGTCTTTTGTGAGGGTTATTTTCTCTAAAACCTTCCTACTCCTAGGGAGTCTATGGCTACTGAGTGTGACGCTGGGTTTAGTGCAGAGACCCAGGCACTGTGGGGAAGGCAGCTACCACCTAGCACAGCCTGAGCTGCCTGCTCGGCCCTCCCCGAGGGTTGGGGCTAGTGCACTGATCTGCGTCACTGTTTTTATGCAGGCAGAGCTTAAAGGTAAGCAAAGCACCTTTTCATATAGTCTGAGAAGAAACGTATCTGTATTTATTGTAAACGGGCGGGTTATCTTATTTAATGTACACATACAGTGTTTTCTAAGTTCATGCTGTTCTGTATATTTGCCTGTTTCTTCAGCTACTAACTCAGTATATTGAGCATAGGTTCGACATGGATACTTCTAAAAAAAAATAAGTTTTTAATAGCAAAATGGGCTCACAGTGTAAAAAGTTCATCTTACTGATTTTTGGGGCTCATCTCTCGTGTTAGGTACAGCAGTGTGGGTAAGTGAATAAAGTCAAAGACCAGTTCCCCTGCCCGAGGCCTGTGCACCATGAAAACAAACGTAGGCCACACAAGACAAGGTGGTCATCTTTTTACTTCCCTGTCCGCTACTGGCCTCTTGGAAGGCTGCTTCTGTCACACTCCTGCTACCCCGAGGTTCCTCGAGAGAGCCGGAGTCCAATGATGAGCCTAAAGGGAAAGTTCTTGCCTGAAACGGTGTGAGGAATCCAGACGAGGATCCTGGCCATCACTCCAGATTAGTTCCCTCAAGAGCCACCTCTTCATTCCTTAAGCCAGAGGACACTGTGAAGACACGGCCAGCAGCCTCTCGTCCCTTCCTCGGGGGGCTTGTGACGCACAGTGAGGGACTGTAGGATTTCCAGGAGGTGGGATGGCTCAGGGGTCCCACTCAGAACTTCTGTAAGAACTTGAGCACAAGGTCCCGCAGTCGCACCCTGAGCATCTCGTCGTTGTCACAGATGATGTGGGTGGAATCTTCCTCAATCTGGATGAGCGTCTCAGCTTCCTGGAGCAGGACAATATGGCCCTTGGCGGTGTCTTCCACCTTAATGTCGCTGAAGCCATGCTGCTCCAACAGAAAAAAAAAGGAGGAGGATGGGTACACTCGGAAAATCAAGTGCTAAAAATGACACTTCTAGAAGTGACTGAATATTCTAGAAACTGGCATTTTTGAGACTCCTCAATATGATTCTCGGACTAGCAATATGGCCTACTACAGCAATACAGTTCAACCACACTTTCATATACTTTAAAAGAGGCCCCAAACGTGCAAAATCTCATGCAAGACACCAAAATGTCCACAACCTACTTAAGCTTTTGCGAGTCATTTGAGGAGCACGTCCAAGCACCTGGGACGTGAGGCTATTTTCAGAACCACACCCATGTTCCCTGGTGACAAAGCTCCCTCCTAAGTCTCAGCTGTCTGAGCTCCTAGGGAAAATGCACCTGAAGCAAGACACTGCTGACCTCGGGACTCCGCAAATCCTCCCAAGGGGGAAGGAGGCAGAGCAGGTGGTATTTCTCTAACCATCACTATTACAGCATTTCCTTACAGTCAAAGTCGAAAAAGTAAAAGCAGAAAGAAGTCATCTGCCTGCAAGGGACACAACAGGTAAGGGCATTGGAACAGGGAGACTGGCCACACTCTGTGACAGGAAGCTCCTCCTGCAGTGAGGGGAGCGGCGGCCATGGCAGAGCGGAACATTCAGTCAAGACCTAGGGTGAGCCAGGCACAGGTCTTTCTAAAACATCAAAGCTTGAGGGACCAGGAGCCCTGCAAGGTCACGAGGAAGGGGGGGGCCAACGTGATCTCCGACAGCACAGGTGGGGGGGGGCCAAGGAGAGCTGTACGACTTGGCCGAAGCCCTTGCTCCCGGAACACTGAAGGCAGAAAAAACCAATGCTAATAAAGAGAAAGCCTTTCAGATCTGAAAGGAGTCAGCAAGTGAGGAATTGAGGTTGGACAAAAGGTGGTTATTAATAGTTTAGCAGAAGAAAATCTACTTTTTTGTAATCACTTATTGGAGTTAGTTGCAGCTCTTCTTGCAAGAAGCATTATCTTTAGCCCGTTCCTTCTTTCCAGCAAGGATTCTGTAATGCTGATCTCTGAAGACAAAATTATAACCACCTTTAAGGTTAGCTTTTTTCTTTCTATCATAGTCGAGCAATCTCGAGAGGGAAGGACTAATGTCTTTCTACCCCGTGTGCGAACTGCTGGGCACATTTCCCGATTCCCATCTAGCAACACGGATGCCCCTGCCCACGAATCCTGACACTCAGCCCCAGACTTGGATCTCCTTTGACAGCAAGGGGTCCTCGTGTGGAAAAGTGAGGCTCTAGGGGGATGAACCATTCTTTGTCCTGGCCTTTCCTGCTCTGCCCCTCTCACGCCATCTGTGTGTTTGAGGAAAGGCTAGAAACGGGGTTTTCAGAGGCTTCCATCTAGCGACCGGTGCTGGGCAGGCTCCTCACTCAGCACCCTGTGACCCCAGACAAGAATGACGATAGCACGGACAGGGACTAAGTGACAAGCAGCAACATACATTCCTGGTAGTCAGGACGACATGGAGCCGCAGGCAGCAGGGCCTCCGTGCAGTGCAGACGGTGCCCGCGTGGCTGGCTCACCTTCTCCAGGGTCTGCACGAACTGCTCCACGGGGATGGAGCCGCTCAGCAAAGGCTTCACAGCCTTGCAGTCCGGGACGTCATCGCTCACTCGCTTTCTCTTCTTGCCACTCGGGGGCGGGGTGGGCCTGGGAGGGGGCTGGAGCAGAAGGAAGCATGGCCCTGACTGAGCTGCCTCCGAGAACCCGAGCCCACCCTGTCCTGTGGGAAGCTCTCCTCTGGCACTCGGACTGCAGGCCCCAGCGCAGTCTGGAGTCATCCGTGGAGGAAAAATCAGCCGGGGGCTCCCTGTGCAGTTCACGACACCCACAAATGCTGGCTGGGCGCTCCGCAGATGCTCGTCTGAGCAATGCACCTGCAGAAGCTTCCAGTGATGCTATTTTCAGAGCTGGGTGGCACTTAGGATGATGCACGGCCTTGTCTTTCCTCCCCTCTCCCTGAGGCACATGGCCAGATAAAAAAGTAGTCAGGAATTTATATGAAGCGCCCTCCTTGTTTCACATGTAGTCCAGTAAGTGGCCAGCTCTCTAACTTCTGCTGGCTTGCAAAGCAATGTCCCGTGGCTCTGAGGGGAGAGGACTCTAGTCCTCATAGGCCCCGAGCTCCCCCTGTGTTGCGCGCAGCCCACCGCCTCCCACGATACCTGAAGAACGTGCTTGTTATCTTTAGTGTGCAGCACGGCCGAGACGGTTGCCAAGGAGATGCCAGGCTTGATCTCCATGGGCACCAGCGAATCTGCGAGCTGGAAGGAAACGGCAGGTTCAGACAGGCTCCCTCTCAGGCTGAGGGAAGCAGCAGCTCAGGATATTAAAATGTAAGATGGCTTGACAAAGAGTATGTGAGGACTATTTCATGAAATAAAATGTGTATGGGAAAGTGTGACATGCTCCTGACAGGGGACAGATGCGCGCCAGGCCCTGCTCTCCCCTCTGTCCCACCCACGAATAGGCTTTTCCTCCCTACACTGCGGTCGCCCCCGTCACAGGTGAGGCTGGGGTGGGAGGTCTGGGGATGGCATCCTGGGAACCGAGCAGGTCGAGACTCCCGGGGCAGCTGTAAACTAACTCCATTTCCAAGACGACTCTGAAGGTGGGGCTCTTTATGGGGGACAAAATGTCACGTGGCAGCTCTGCCAGAATAGAAGTCCGCCCACACCACCACAGCTCAGGCACCTCTAGGAGAGAGGGGTGTCCCCTCGCCACTGCAGACCCTCCTGCTAGAACAGGCCCATGAGGCCTGACAGCTCCGATCTGCTCTGAACTTGTAAGGACCAAGAAGGATTTATAAAGAAGCTGCAGAGGGCGCACCTTCATTTGGGGGACAAACACATCCTTTCGCGGCAGCAAACCAGACAGAGCAGGAACGGAGCTTAACCCTTTCACCTCACACATGCATTTTCCAGGCGTGTGGTTAGATGATACTTTTGGCATTGTGTTTTAAGAATGATGAAAACCTCTATCTTTGTGTGAAGTGAAATCAGTAGAAATAAGCAGAGAGAACAGTCTGGAGATCTGAGGGACAGCTGCGAAGCTCGGCTCAGTCTGCTGGCCCGGCAGCGGTGGGAGGCTGCGTAGGAGGCGGGGAAGGTGGTGACGCAGGCAGCAGATATTATTAATAGATAAATATCAGGGTAGCAACTTTCTTCGCTCCTCTACCATATGCTATTTCCTGGAACGGATCATTTTCCCTGAGGGAAAGCCATCTATTCAAATCCAGAAAAACATCCAAATGTATTTGAAAAGCAGGCCTAGAAAAGCCTTCAGGGCAGCCAGGCCCTGGCTGCTCAAGGCCCCCAGACAGCAGCCCCCAGCCCGAGTGCAGGGCAGCCAGGTGCGGCTGCAGGGCCGGGTCCAGCTGGGGTCCCGGCCCTGTGGTCCCTGCTCTGGGCGGGGCCCTCCATGTTGTCCCTGTGCGTCCCTGTGTGCCATGCAGTGTATTCTCAGAGTGAGAAGAGACCACAGACAGAGCATTATCCCCCACTGATGTGCCGACTTTTAAGAATAATCACGGCTCACCTCTGGCATGATCTCGATCTTCTCGTACCGACGTTTGAAGGGCAGGGTGAGGACCTCGGCCCGCCGATAGGACGTGGCTGGGGGCTGGCAGTCGATGACAAGGTCTGTCCTGTGGGACTGGGCTGGGGGTGGCTGGGTGTACTGCTCAGGACAGACCACGTGCAGGGGCTGAGGAGCCAACAGGACAGGGTCAAGGGAGACGGCAAGAAAAGCAGAGCAGCTGCTCCCTACCCCGCCTCTCCCCCATGCACAGGCTGACCACTTTCAGGCCACCGTGAGCACAGCTCTCCTGAACCCGGCTAACCAGTCAGAGGTGAGCAGGGTGCGGGGTAGAACAAACATCTCAGGGAAACCCCTTGACCGCCAGCTGCGTGAATGAGCGAGGGATTTACTGCCTCGGTCTGCATTTGCTTTTATTTTTTCCCTCTATTTACGTAACTTTCATGGTGACTTCCACATCTTACTCCCAAGAGGTCTCTAAGCTCTTGGAGGGCACAGTCGCCTTGTCGCATTTAGCGCACACAACTGTCACACGCTCTTGGCCAATCAGCAAGAGCTGTGGCTTCTGTGCTAGGCTGGTGTTCTGCGTGTGGAGTTTCTTCTGCCATCTGCAGGTCAAGTGGCGTCAGCCAGTGGGCATCGGTCAGGTCACATGCTCAACTGTGCACGACAGTGAATCAGAGATAGAACTTTTTTTTTTTTAAACAAAATGTCTTTCTTTTGGTTATCTTGAGAGGAAAAAAAATTAGTAAACCAATGTTTACTTTGGACAAATATCACTCAATTGGACAGTAGTGTTGGCAGCCCACAGTGTCATTGTATCATACCCCTGCTTTTAAGAGTTTGGGCCATGCCACAAATTCCTTGAAGAACAAGGTTTTCCTGCCAACATGGGAAGATCGCTTGAAGCCAGGAGTTTGAGACCAGCCTGAGCAACAGCGAGATCCTACCTCTACTAAAAATAGAAAAATTAGCCAGGTGTGGTGGTATGTGCTTGTAGTCCCAGCTCCTTGGGAGGCTGAGGCAGGAGGATCACTTGAGCCTGGGAGTTTGAGGTTGCAGTGAGTTATGATGACGCCATTTGTACTCTAGCCAGGGTGACAGAGTGAGACTCTGTCTCAAAAAGAAAAAAAAAAAAGGCTTTCCAACAAACTGAACTAGTTGGATTTAAAACAGCACTTGTTTCTCAGGGCTGACATTTTTCTTCAACTTGCCTTTTGTTCTTCTTCCTGACCTGGTTAGTATCTTTATCTCAAAGCCATCTGACTGCACGATCACAGCCAGGACTTCTCCCAGGTTTTCCTCTCCTCAAGTGGAGACAAGGTGGCCTCCGGTTTACAAGATCAGCAAACCACAGAGGGGCGTAAGGAGCACACAGCTGGCGTAGGGACTGGGAATTGAAGTTTCTGAGTAATGAGAAACAACAGGCTCTTAACCATTTTTTCCAGCATAGTGATGAACACACATGGGGCATCACATGGCTCCACATGGGCTAAAAACTGGCTACCTGCTCTACTCGCACCTAGAGAAAGCCCATATCCTTTCTCTGCAGCGTGAGCAAGGCAGTGATCACCGGAATCCATTCTCCCTGCATTCCTGAGGTCTCCAGCTTTCCTGTTTCTTGCTACCCTGCCTTAGAGCTTTGGGTAAGGGCCTCTCATCCTGAGGTCGAAGATTCTCTGCAGAGGAGGAAACAGAACCTCTGACCTAGGCCAAGAGATGAAGAGCGCCAATCCTACCTGCTGAGTGACGAGGCGGGAGGCAGTGCCAGGGCGCCTGGCACTCCTTGACGCTTCTGAAAACATCGAGGGAATGGGAACGCAGAAACTTTCCTCTCACCTGTTCTTAGCCACCTTCCTCGCCAATTCCAATTAGTCTCCCTGTTCCCAGCTGCCAGAAAACACTCCAGGCATGTGGCGACTGACCTGGCGCAGTGCTTTTGTATCCCTGCTCTCCCTCTCCCGCTTCCGTGCAGATTCTGCCCTTAATCTACCATTGTACCCCAACTGCTCCTTCCCTTTCTCGAGGGCAGAAAGTGCAAAATGAAACACATGAACGAAAACTGCAACCAAACCAAATCTCTAAAAGAACAACACGACACTGCCTGTGGCACTAGCCCGCACGTGCAGCAAGGGTCCAACACATGTTCTCATTACACTGCCTTTCAGCTTCGTGTGTGTGTTTTTAGAATGACTGTTTTAAGTGGACACAGACAGTCCTCATTAAAAAGTACCAGACTGTTTTTTCTCCCTTCCACTTTTGATTTTTTTAGAATGGAAACTTCTTTCAGGGTGTGAAGACCATTCCTTTTAAGTGTAGAGAGTAACCAGCACATGTCCCGGCATTCTGCAGACGTTTGAGAATTGAGGAAGAGGTCACTCACAGCTAGACGGCCCTCCCCCCACCCACAGATGTACACAGGGGCAACGAGACCACGCGACGACACTGACGTAACTTCCTGGGTTACCTGCACTTCTTTAAGCAGCTTGGACACCTGGATGAAGTTCAGCCGTGTGTCGATGGGGCAGTATATGCACTTCATGGCCAACGGCTGGTAGGGAGCCAGTGCCTCCAGGTAGGAGAAGTCCGGTTCTAAGGGAGGTAACAAAAAAGACATTTTATTTAATAAAACGCAGGCGACAGAGGAGCTGCCAAGCAAAGTGGCGGCTGGCGTGGCGAGGGCCCAGCAGATGGTCAGCGCGCTTAGGAGAGTGAGGCAGGAAGGACGGTGCGCGCAGGCGCCAGAGTCAGCGGAGTCCCAAATACGGCACGCCAGGAGCCGACGCGAACGCTGTGCGGTGGATTTGGAGTGGGAGGAACAGTGTGCGCCCAGAGCCTCCAGCACAGACAAAGAGGCAGATGAGAGAGATGAGGGGTAAATAAGTAAATGGGGGAGAAGAGAAAGCTCTTCTTCCCAACGAAACACCAGTCGATAAATGTAAAAAGATGAAATTTTAAAAAATCACCATCTGGTAATGATTCATTCAGACCAGAATCATTAATGCTAAGAAAATTTGAGGAAGAACAGGATATATACACAGTTTCAAAGTGTCCCCCACAAGATACTGATTAAATATAAAAACAGTGACTCCACAGTGGAAAGGCCTGGCACGGACCAAGGAAGCCAGGAATCGACACGCTCAGAGTTAACACCCAGGTGCGAGACAGACAGACGTCAGAACGTCCATCTGACAGGAGGCACCCAGGAGACAAAAGCACAGCCTTGACCCCGTACTGACAAATGTTTCTGCTGAGACCATGCCATTCATTCCCCAGCAAGCCCAGCTGGGAACCATCCTTGCTGTACGCTCGGTTTCTCTTGAGGGCTACTATGGCCTGCTCGGCAGGGATCGTTCCGTCCACTCAAGGAAGTGGGCCCACCAGGAGCCCGAAACACTGGCTCAGTCCTGATGTGAAGGACACTCGATTCCCAGCAGTCTGTGCGCAGGGAGGATGGACCCTGGGCTTAAGCTCACCTGGCATATGGACTTCTCTAGTGTCTTCAGGACAACTGGTACAACTTCCAGACATGTAAACTGCCACCCCCCCCCCCCCCGATTGTGCTTCGCTACGAAAACCCAGAACACCCGAGATGAGACAAGCACAGGCCACCCAGGAAGAAATACTGACTTGCTTTAATGTGAACAGTAGTCACAGTACAATAAAAAAGGTGGCCCGAAACTTCACCCCGACACTAGTAGATATCAGAAACAACACAACTTCTGCTCTGGAAGCCCAACAAACTAGTTTAAATGTAATCTCATCTCCCAGGGTTGTCATGGGCAATCACACAGCCCTGATTTCTTCCTAGCTAAAGGACAATGTATACTAGAGCCAACGCTGATTGCCCGTGTAAATGCTGTACCTCCTGTCATGTCAGAGAGTCACAGCTCATCAAAAGGAGAGACCAACCTTAGTCCTACTATGTACAATGATCTCTGGACAACCTCCTGATCAGAACATTCTTGGCAAGTGTGAAGTTCCAAGTATTGTGAATTAATGTCTTGGCCCAACTTCCACTGCCTGTGGCCCAAAAAGGAGGCCCAAGAAGAGAAAAGCAGCCCCTGGTGACTGGCAGCTCTCCTGGCCCTTCCTGCTTGGCCATGGTGTTAGCAGGAGCTGGCCTGGCACCCACGCCAGGCCACAGTGTTCTCCTTGTGTGCAAACACAACTGCACAGGACACCAACATCACACAAGGCCACTCGGTAACCATGACAAATCCAGCCAAAAATAAGACCTTCTTATAATCATGCCTGAAGGCAAAACACAAAACTGTCCTAACCACAAACAAGCAAACATTACCCTATCCTGGCTCCCTTCTTCTTGTGTTCGAGGTAAGAATCAGTAAGACATCCAGTCGTGGAGTTACTCCTGCACCCTGGCAGCACCCAGTGCAGAGTGATGTCTCGTGTCCTCAAACCACCCCAATCCTACAAGGAGGTCTTTTTACCATCCTTTATGCAGTGTGTGTTCCCCTCACTGCAACGAGGCAAAAAACCCAACTTTGTTCAACTACACGCATATTCCTGGTGGCCTGTGTACAGAGGCACCGACAATCCTCACAAACTGAGGCTGAGAACGGGGAAGGGCCAAAGCGTCTCTGACCCCGATGCTTTTGGTATAACTACACTCTCTATTCCAAAACCC